GTTGGCATCCAGCAGTGTGAGACTCACTGGCGGGAAGAAGAGAAGATGGGGACCAAAGTGCCACGGCATTGTCATCCCACAGCAATAAATCTAAGCCTCACCTTCCACCGGCTTCTTCCCCCTCCACACGCTCCTTACCTCCCAGTTTGAAGGGCACATTCCCCCCTACCCCATTCGGCAGCAGCGGCACACAGGCACTCGTGAGGATTACGGCCCAAACCTGTTTGCAGACGCGCACAAGGAGAGGAGTTAGCACAGGGCTGGGAAAAGGAAGGTGTTTGCTTGTGCCAGCTGGCAGGGGCCTGGCTGGAACAGAAGGGAGGGAAGCTGGGCGTAAGGAGAGATTTAGGTGCTGCTGGAGCAGTTCTCTTAACAGATGTGCTACAGGCATGGTTGCGAGTCACTTGCTGAGAAGGTAGGAGCTTTCCTTCTCACCATTTTCCCCTCCCGAAAAGCAACAGGACAAGAGCAGGTCCTGCGCTGCCCCCACACCAGGCACGTCCCCAGCTCGCGCCAGCCCTGCCAGAAGAGCTCTGCGGTGACTGCGCTAACTGCTGAGCTTGCCTCGGCCCCAGGCGCACCAGGGAAGAGGAGCTGCTTTTTTTGTTGCTTTGGGGAAAAGCAACAGCTTTGCTCTCTGCAGCAAAGGGGTAGGGGGGGTAGCTCTCTAGCAAGAAGCAGCACACGAGAGTCACAAAATTAATTTCACAGTATCATCAACTGCCTTCAGAACTGTGCTCGATAAACACAGCGCTGCTTCTGGCTCTCCCTGTATTAAGTGCAACACTGGGAAGGGTCACTGCCCAGAAACATTCCCAGCCTTCCCGTGCTGCACAAATCTGGCCAAGCCACGGCCCTGACTCAGCACGCACCTGCGAGGCAAATACCGAAAGAGGCAGGACTCAAAACCTCCCTGGCTGCCAAGGGAGCTTCCGTGCTCCTGAGTCCCAAACACACAGGCACCAGCCCAGCCCCAGTTTGAGCAGACTGCCTTTTTATTTTGTTGGCGCGATGCACAAATCCACACCGACTGTGTCTTTTGCCTGGGTACCAGCAACTCCACCAACAAAAAACAAGGTTCGGACAGACAAAACCAGGCCCCCATTTGGGACACCTACCTCTGCAGGGTCCTGCTGACAGGCTGCTGCCCGGCTGTCCTCACACAGGCCCTAGGACACTTGTGGGCCAGCTCTCCGGCTGTGTTGCCCAGCAGCACCCTGTTGCCTTTTGCTCTTTCCGATGCAACAGGAAAAACCCAGTCTCTGCAACTGCAAACGCGCCTCTTGAACTTGTCTCTTGTCTTCCCCTCTACCCTCTGCTGGGAACACTAGTTTTCAACACACCCTTTCAACCCACCACCACGTATGGAACGCATCCACAAAGCAAATGCCCAGTTGTGCCTGTGGAACCTCGACACACCCAAGAGCCTGGTTGCACCATCGAGGTGTACGGACGCAGCAGGGTACAGAGGATTAACTTTCAAACCACCCACGCCCCAAGCGCAGGTGCCCAGCTCTGCTGCGTGCCGCGGGCAACGTAACCAGACTTAGTGCACCGGCTTACCCCTCCCGCCCCGGTGTCAACTTAGCCGTGGGAGAGTTGTGCTTTGGGGACTGGCCAGCCTGGGTCTCGGAGGCCAGGGCTGGCACGCAGGCCTCCACAGGGGACCGCAGCAGCGTCATGAGGTGGTCTTCAGCTTTGCAGCTCTCCTCCTGCTGCTGGTGCTGCGGCCACCTGTGTCCCAGGCCAGCTGGGGCCAGTAAGGAGCCCAGGGAACACAGGTCTGCATTGCTGGCTGCACTGGTGTACAGATTTACGGTGTTTTGTGGCTAAAAAGGTGATGCTCAAAGACAGACTTGCCTTTAAACATGAGGCACATGCCAGCAAGATCAGCTCCCCCGTGTAGCAAGGTCCAGCTGATTTGGAAATAACCTGCATTGCCAGAGAGAAAAAAACATTTCTCACTTCCCACATTTCCTCCCCACAAAAAAACCCAGGCGATGACGCAGTCCAGACATGGCCCCTACCCATAGCATTGCCTCGCTACTACGGTAGCAGGCTGACTTGTACGCTGTTCCCACTGTCAGAGCACAGGGCTGTCCTGGAGCGCTGCTAGGGCTCCCTGTTACCCACAGGAGAATGACTCCTTGTATTCATGTGGCTTTCCCACAGGCTTCATAGCACCCCAATACTTCATGCCGCGGACGTGCCAAAGATGCTGAGCCCAGGGTCGGCCCGCTCCAGCGGGGGCCCAGAGCAGTGAAGGCAGGGAGTCCAGCAGAGTACACGGGTCAGGTGAACGGCTGGCCGGAAGGGAAACACGTTTCAAATTGCAGGCTCCGTTCCCTGCTGCCTCATCTCCCTCACGAGCGCTGGGATAAAACCATCGCATTCATACAACTATGCATGTTACTACTCAAGCACAGTCCCCCCCAAAACCCAGGGAGCACCCGAGTGCACGGCAGCCGTGTTTTAGCAGAGCGCTGCTACTTGTTTCAAATGCCTTCTAGCAATAATCCCAGCTCACCTTTATACACGCTGCGCAGCCGTTACTCTCTGCGACACCCCATCTTCCCTTAATGTCCCAGAAGGGTTTGCTTTAAAGGCATGATAGCAGTAACCTCTCTGCAATTTCCTCCACAACACTGCCTCAGAGAGATGCTGGTACGCCTCCTTCACTCTACTTGGCCTGGGGGACCATTCATGAGGTATTTATCTCTTACACGGGACCCGCAGGTACCGAACACGGGGGAGATGCTCATTCCTCAGAGTAGGTGGTCGGTCAACACCTCTGGCTGACACGCTGCGACCCAGCCCCAGCCCACAGCGGCCGACAGCAGCACGGCCCTGCACCCCTCCAGCTTGTGCCACATCCAACCTGGAAGCTGCTCCTAGCTCTGGGTTTTGGGAGTTTCTTAAAGTTCGTTTTCACCCTCCAGCAGCGACAGGAGGGTTAAGCCCACAAGCACTATTTTAAACTTGGGCACCCGCTCACTCTTGTGGATGAAGCAGTTTTCCCGGCTCTGCTGGGGACATTTGGTGACACTGAATGACAAATAACCTCTCTGGGCTGTCCAACAACAGGTTTCACACTGCTGTCCCCTCCCCATGCTGACACCTCTTCCCCTAACAGCCGCACACGATGGAGGAAGGGAGCCGAAGGCCACGTCGCCATCCCTTCCCCCCAGGACCGAGGTGTGAGAAAGCCTCAGCAACACTCCCTCAGCTCCCATCACCTTGTCCAACAGGCATCTCGCTACAACCACCACTTGCTTTGCCCGCACGTGCTTTCTGCTCTCTGATCCCCTTCCCTCTGCCCCAGTATCCACCACCACGAGACTATGGGAGTCAGATGCTTCATTCTGTCGTCCCCCGTCCCCCCCCCTTAAAATTCCTTATGGCTCTGTTCCCCATGAATTTACCTTTGAAAAAAAAAACCAGCCAAACAAACAAACCCCAAAACCTTCTGCTGATACCATCTGCCTCAACAACCTGGGGCAACAAATTCCAGAAGTTTACTACCTGCTCTGTAAGGAAGTTACTCCATGTTTTGAGCTGATTTCCCTCTAGCTGAGTGCCCCTCTGGTTCTAGTCGTGCCGATTAGGTAACTAGCAGGTCGGCATCTACTGCCATCACAATTTAGCGGACTTTGTAACACAGCATCACAAATAAATTTAGGCTGGAAGGGACCTCTAGAGGACACCTGCTGCAACCTCCAGCTCACAGCGGGGCTGATCCTCCCTCTCATCTCAGCCTTTCCTTCTCCAAACTGAGGCCTCCAAGCCTTTGCGGTCTCACCTGGCAGGCTGCTGCTCCATCCCATTTATCATTAGTGCCCTTCTCTAACTCCACTATGTCCTTCTGGAGACATGAAGTCCAGAGCTGCATGGAGGACTCAAGGCACCAGCACAGCAAAACTCTAGAGCTGTAAAATAAAGGCAGTTCATTTAAGTGTTGACATTTGGCTTCTCCTTATATCAAGTTTTAAATAAATTTCTGTTTAGAGTTTAGAAGTCAACCAACAAAAGGTTGTTGCCCCTCTTCAAACCTTCCTGATGCAGCAGCACTACTGGTGGGTCATCTAGCCTCGAGTCCCTCCAGCTGACGAAGAACAACCTCCTCCAGTACAGCCCAGCACTTGCCAAGGGCAGAAAGAAACGCCCTAAAAGCAGAGATCTCAAGAGCTCCTTGAAAAGCCCAGGGCTGACCCGGCAGACGGGGGTCCATCAGGATACTTCTTCAGTGTTGCCAACCTGCAGATCTGGTCATGACTTCCTACTGCCACACACAAGATTTCAGAGAGTCACAGGGCACAGCTACACGGGTAAGGTGATGGGGTTAGTAGCACTTGATAGCCTCTCTTCAGGTACAGGGTAAAAAAAAAAAATCCATCACCACCTGGTTTCTTTCCTTCTTACTTGCAGTAAATGATGCCCAGCCACCCACGGCTGAGCCGGGGTCCTAAACCACTGTCATCAGCACAACATGGGTGACCTGACACGAGGTAGAGCTCAGCAGAAGAGCTCTCTGCCCATGCATGATAGTGAAAAATAACAACAAGTGACCGACTCTTTCAAGAGAGAGGCTATAGCACAGTGATGGGATTTTACAGCCTAGACTCCCACTACCACCAGATAAACTCATACTGCAGATTTTAAATTAAAAAAAAAAAAGTCTAGAGAACGAGAGAAACATAAGGAGAGGATTCCCACCCCAAAACAGGGGCGCTGGGGAAGGTCTCACCGCACAGGATGCTGCGGGACCCATCCAGCAGGTGGGCTGGCCTCTGAGCGAGTAACCAGTAGGGTATTTTGGCAAGTTGGAGGCTACCACAGAGGGGGTTGCACAGATGAGCGACAGCAAGGCCCCGGGGCCCGAGGCGGTGGTCCCCGATGCTGCAGACTGGCCTAGGCACCAACGCCGCAAAAAAGACACAGCACTCGTAAACTGGGCATTTTAATGGACAAGTCATTTTCTCAGTAAACAGCGACCACCTTCACGTGCGGAGAACCCCGGGCCGGAGATCACACTTGCCCTGCACGAGGCACAGGGGGGGCTCAAGGGCCAGCACGCCCCGATCCCGTAGCAGCCCTTGGCTGCAAAGTTAATGACTGATTTCAGGAAATACGTGGCTCAACCCATCGCCTTTTGCTAGGTATGGGTGGCCCGGTGCACATCGAGCACCGCTGCCTAAGCCCTATCGGAACAAAAAGGATTCCCTCCTGCAAGTGGTGCAACCTCTTCCCAGTTAGCAAAGCATCCACAGCGTTTTTGCAGAATAAGAGAAGAATTAACACAGGCAGGGTTTAATCCAGCAATACCCTCAAGGCCTCAACCCATGAGGCATTAGCTACTCTGTTTTGTCCTCAGAAGGCTGCATGTGAAGAGTTTTCTAGATCTGGCTATCTCATGGTAAGCACTGGTGGCTGGCGAGCAGACCCTCAGCAGGTATCTCCTGAGCCCACTGGAGCCTAGAGAGCAGGCTCCATTTTTTGGTATTAATGCAAATTCTGTCCTAAGCTACATTTGTGCAAATACTCACATCCCTTCAGTTTGGGCAACGGTCAGAAACTCCATTTACGTACCAGGTAAATCGTTACAGCATATGCACAAGGCCATATTTATAGATACAATCGGAAAGATTATTAAAGTCACTTAGTTGGCTGCAAATGTTTCCAGGATAAACAGTTTTTCTGCCGCTTTAGAAAAACAGCCACCTGGCTGGAGGGAGCTTCTAGTGATCTAACCCTGTCACTGAAAAGTGCTGAGAAATCTTGTGCTTCTGAAAAACCCCCAGCAGATTTCAGCAGAGACCCTTGGCAGCTTGCGCTTCACACGCAGATTGGAAGAGGCAAAACCTAGACAATTTAATAGTACCTTTTCCATCGCAGGTTAAAGGAGACGAATTCCTTGATTAAAGTTCACAGATGAGAAGAATAAATCACTAGTATTCGGTTTAAAAAAGAAAAAAGTGCATCACCCGACATGAAAAACATCCCAAGAGGATGAGGCTGTCTCCTTCCATCCACCCCAAAGCAGCTAGAGGTCACTACACACCAAGTTTACAAGCTTTGGTTTTTACCTTCAAACAATACTTTGGCACTTTTCAAGCTTTTTGACTGAATTTCCAAAGTAAACAAGTTAAAGATAAACAACTACCCCGCATTCAACATTGTTAAGAAAATAATCACTAATCGGGCTTCTTGAAAATAAAGTGAAGCCCTTAATCTAAAGTACAAGTCAGTGCAGCTCGCTTGTACAAGAGATACCCACTTTGCTCGTACAGAGGCAGATCAGCCAGAAAATAGTAAGGCCTTGACCGTCCAGAACAGGCTCCATCAGTGCAACAACATGCAACACCAGCCACCTCCGCCTCGGGCAACTGCATACTGAAGACCAAAAGTCATCTAGATCTAAGGACTTATTTTCAGCACGTGTCAGAGGAGCACAGGACGTACTTGTGATGAAGCGGTGGTGTCCAAAGCAGCCAGCCTCGATCTTTAGAGGCAGAAATGAAGTCCTCCAGCTACGCACCCTCATCCACAGTCTGTCATTGTATTTCTCATCAGCAACGCGTGCATATTACGGCAAAAGGCAAGAAAATGGGGAGGGAGGAAAAACAACAACTAACCCAGTGCAATATCTCACATTATGGCCAAGCTCTCTCCTCCAGCCGTTACCTCTGTCGCTTTTGGTCGCCTCAATTCTGTCGGAGACGCGCTGGGAGCAGACAGATCCCGCATAGAGACACACAGCACAGCGCACCCTCAGACGGACAGGTGGAAAACAAAAAGGGAAGGAGAGAAGGGCGGACGTGATGGAAGAATGAGATGGCTCTTCTCCTGGCGGGGGTGCCCGTAGCTGCAGGCTCTTCCAGTGCCCTACTGTCCACTGGGAGAGAGGGTGTGGGGGCTTTTGGCAAGATGACGGTTACATAAAGAAGAAGCTACAGAAAAAGAGAAAAACAGAAAAGAAAAGAAA